ATGAATCTCTTTCTTCTCGAATAGCTTTTAATTCTTTCTGTAGCTCGGTGTAGTGAACTCTAGCGGCTTGTAATTCTTGTTGTAAGGTGTGGTTCTCGTTCTTGACAGCATCAAGTTCTTGCAAAGTCTTCGAGTTATTTGCATATTGCGTCGATTGCACACAGCTCCAAAGTTTGGTTACCTCAGTCCTTAGGTCGTTAATTAGACTCAGAATATTTACGTCAAGAGAGTGAGGGGAGATAGGTTTAATAAAGTGGTCCGTTTCGTTGCTGGATGTCTCTGAGAGTTCAGGAGTGTCCACTTGTGATTTGTCGTCGTCCACAACAACATGGCGGTCGCTAATAACATCTTCGCTTTCATCGTTCAGGTCACAATTGGTTTTACCACCGTCCATAGCTGCTCGACGTTTATCCTTTGCTGATTGAACGTTGTTTCCTTGAAGTTGTAACGTCCCAGTCTTGTAATAATTCACTGTCAAGGATTTTGCTTTTATCGATTTTCTTTGCTCGTTTTGAGTTATGGAGCACGTGGTGGAATCTATATCTAAAAGTTCGAAGCAAAAGATTTTCAACTCATCGAAGGAACCTCGCCACGTAAATGTGGACTTCTTTGAATTGTAGCTTAGTTTCTTTATCAGCGAGTCTGTAGTGGCTGGGTTGGGTTCAGAGCTGTTGTTCATAGCTGTTGAATCCAATGCTGCGACTCGTCTCGTCTCGTCTCGTCTCGTTCCAGGGATAATTTGGTGACAGTACTCGCAAAACAGCAACCATAACTTGGCATGCTTCAGCTATGTTTCTTCTTCTTGTTCTTTCTGCTGCTGTTGGTGATCCCATGTCTACCTTACGAACTGGAGCTAAGCCAGAACTTTTAAGAAATTCGTTCAACTGAGTTTTTCTAAATTCTACCACATGCGATCTCATCGCATCTGCAACGAGACTTACTCTTTCTTTTTCGACTTTTTGTAACTTTCTTCTCTCAGCTTCTATGGGTGAAAGAACCTGCAAATGTAATTAATAAGTTGTTTTAGTTTTAAAAATTTTAATCATTGGTAACCAGGGGAGAAAGGCTAAAATTTTCTCAATTTTCAACTCGTTAAAGTCAATTGCTTTTCAAATTGGTAAGATGTAGCTCGTATAGAAACAGATACCGGAAAAACAAATGTAGCTTACCAGGGAGTTGCCCTTATATCCACAATCGGTCCCACTAGTGTCTCCACAACAAACATCATTATCACCACTATTTCCGCCACTATCACCATTATCATCCCGACCACTAACAGTGTCATTTGGAGCCGCTAGAGTGCAAACATAATCACAGCCGTCATTTTCCTGATTATTAATATCAACGCCAACATCTCTCTCATCACCAACGTTATTGCAACCAAAATTATCATCGCTACACGAACAACCGTTACTACCACTATCACCAACGCCACCGGGCACTTGAACTTTGCAGATGTCATCGCCTTTACTACAACTATAAAGGCTACCCTCAATGCTGTTGACATCCGCATGGAGTTTAGAAAGATCCCTAACGCCGTCATCAACATTAGCATCATGCACTATAAATTCCTTCACATTCCTTTCTATCGCAATCGTCGATGCTTAAATCAGAGCACTGTTTCGTTGCATGCAAACTGCTTGTTCTCTCTTGGACTTTTTTCGTAGAACTGTCTACTTGACAATTTGTTAGTTTTTCTTCTTGACAGATTTTTTTTACTTTGTCTCTGCACTGTCGACAAATAGCTAAGAAAAAGAAACAAAAAGCAAATATCAAAATAGGCAAATACAAGCCAGAATTAAACACTTGATCCAAACGTAATAAACGATAACGAAATAACTGCTCATATCATAATCCTCAGAATTCATGTAACTGGTTTTCGTTGGCCGCGAAAGGTAGAAAAGAGTAGAAGTAACGTACGTAGATGACTGAAGAGGAATCGAACGACAGCGAAACGTGGCAAAGAAAGGACGATTGCTCTAAAGTACCAGACCCTTGGATTGACTTCATGACTTAACAAGATGTTAGAACAGTTACTAAAGCCAGCTAGTATTTCAATGAAGAGGCCAGTTTTATCACAGAAATGTAGCATTAATCACTGAACAAAGGTGGGCGCCGTTGAAGATCGTAATGATCGTAGCGAACTTAAAGTAGTAACTTAGCGTACTTAAAGTATCGTTGACTGAGAATTTTACTTATATTTAGTGATACTTACGTACTCCGATTGGTACTAGTACCCCCAAAACACTGAATATCGATTCTGCTTGTAAAAAGGTGACTCCTCGGTCACCTTTTGGAGGTGGTATACCGGTGTGACCGCTAATGACGCTGGGAATAACACATCGTCTTTTGTTGCACTTCCACCGAGTTCCATACACATCGCGATGCCGGGGACAGATTGTTATTTTCTCAGCTTCTACCTCTGAGGAAAACAAACCTACAAAATATAGTAAAAAGAATATATAAATATATTAACCCACGGAATCCGTCGGTGAAGATTAGGTTGTTCAAAATGGTTTTGCAGATTACTTTTGAAAATTAGAACGAGAAATGCTAATCTGCTGGCGTGCTCTCGGAAAGATTACGCTCGCCCCGGGCTAGCTCGACTCGTGCCAATTTTGTGTTAAACTTTTTCAGTAATTTACTTAACTATATCAAAACAAAATATTCATTCCTTACCTGCTCGCCCCAAAAGTAACTGAATCTCGTCCTTTAGATTTTTATCCACCACTTTCAGTCCTCTTAAATGGGGTTTGATGTTTCTGGAACACTGCTTTAACGTCAAGCACTCGCTTGATGCAATAGTTACTCCACAAGCCACCCCGTTAACAAATTTAGCATACCCACATCTGACCATATTTCTGTTAAGGAATAAACTTGATTAAACATGCATTTCACTTGGCTTGTAGTTAATCTCACACCGTTAATGAAAACCCCCGTAAGTGAAATTTCACCGTAACCGGTGGCAGCACTTCCTCGTTGAAAAAGATCACTTGTGATTTTCTGGAATTCCAGGTTGATATAAAATAACCGGATTTGTCGAAAATTAAGGGAAATTGAATGTCATTGTTAGAGAAAAAAACAATAACTTACCTTCTTTCCAAATTGAAAGCACGGGAAGAACTGACAGCCCACGAAGACGTTGACATCTGATAAAGGATGTTCATTCCTGCTTGCGTTCCAGCGTGCATTTCTTTCTCCCAAGATATTATTGTTTCGTCGTGCGCAATAACTTACGGACTTTCATACAGTGCTGATGTTACCATCACGTAAGTTGACTTCATAAGCTGTTTTTTTTCTTTAAATCTCATACCACTTAGTAGAATCCTTTTCACTGATTACGCTTTAAGTCCAGTGGCGGGAAAAATATACTAGAAGGGGAAGAGCCGCTTTAGAAAATTGTTCCTCGTACCGAACACTGTGCAGGAATTTGCATAAAGCCGTATTTATACATTGTTGAGTCTAGTTAGCGTTTGCTAAAATTTTGCAAAGGTTGTGTTACCTTTATTTGCAGTGAAATTGGTTGTTATATGTATTTGACTGCAAACAGTATGATATAGTGGGAAATAATGTTGAACTAGTGCGGACATGATGTGACAAATTGAAGCATGACATAACTGCGTGTGAGTGAATCAAACGTGTGTAATATTTATATTCGCAAAATACAGACGCAAAATCGGGAAAGACTCACCATTCTTTTCCATAAAAAGTGAAGTTTTATTTAGCGTTAGATAATAACCTGGACGAGGCAAGATTCATTAAAGAAGTTTTCGAGCAAGATTCACCGATTTGCTTTGTAAATGTCACTGAGTGCAAACTCGGGCAATGGCCGGGCTGAAATCATTGCACATTGATGTTAACATATTTCTTCTCCATGGCATTTGCCCAATTTTTTTATTCATCGGTCTAACTTGCCTATAAACAAACTCCATTCAGGTAAGGTGGTTTGTTCTAATTCGATGTGGCATGGGTGATATATACTTTTCAATTTCTACTAAATTTGTCTGCATTCCGAGTACCGAAAATATGTAGTAAGACAATTCAACCGTTCCAAGCTCATGCTGAACCGTTTTCAATTAAATGTACGTAAATACAAAGTTAAAGGATAGTTCTCTTTAGCTGTACGAGTAATGGACAATTTATTTCTATGCCAAGGCCGAAATAAATGCTTTAAAAACTCCCTAAATCGGCCAATATGGCGGCCCTCCGGAAGCCCCGTCAAACCGTCATTTCTGTATCTTCCAAAGGAAAGAGAATTCAAACCAAAGAATATGCATTCAGTATTTAGGGCACCATTCTAAGACTTCATGCCAAAAATCAGCCAAATCTATGAGATGCCGTGTCAGGCGAAAGTTCGAATCTTACAGAAAATCACTCTTAATGCTCTCAAAGAAATGCAATTCGAATTGGCCATAAATGTAATTAACCCGTCAATACCGAAACCGTTAATAATCGAAAGAGCGCCGCCCCTCTGTTGAAAATCGAAAAAAGAAGCGCTGCCCTCAAACCACCCTGGCATCAGTTTTGATCATTTATTGTTGTTTTCGAAAGAGCGCCGCGGTTCGTATTTTTGTCAGACTTATATTGAGGGCGGCGTTCTTTCGAGTATATACGGTTTGGATAGCATTTGCCGGCGGTTTTATAAAATAATGTGGCCAATTTTTATTACATTCGTCGCTTCAATGTCATGTTCCTTATTGTAGCCTGCGTAGAGGGTGCCATTTTTTTAGGGTGAAGGGGGAAATATCGAAGACGCGCGCGCGAGGCCAGGAAAGACGAGGTGGAACCGACGGTTGCGCCTGCTACGCAGGCTATCCTTACTGGGGGAAAAGGGGATGAATAAAAGAAAGAAAATGGCCACCCGAGCAGAGGATTAGGAGGGAAATTTTTTGCATCTTTCATAGTCGCCTTTTACTGATGCATGAATTCCTCAACAAGTAGAGCCCGGGTGATACAATATAAGGAACAGTGAGGAAAAAGGACACAAGGACACAAAAAAACTGTTTCTTTCGGTCAGCGTTGAGTGACATGTGCCCACTCTAACGACTATTAATATTATTATTAACACTCTATTATTTTCAAGATTTTTGCCCTGACTCAAGCTGATATAAATAGTCACTGTAGCCTGCGTAGCTAGCGGGATTGTTGTGCCCTGGATAGTTTCGTGGCGGCTCCGCTGAGCAATTGAAGCGGCAAAACCGTGAGGGAAACTTTCAATTTCGATTCATGTCCCAATCTTCACGAATGGCTTCACCGTCCGAAACCTAGAGCACTCGCCCACTAATCCCGCCAACTTCACAGGCCGTGGTTAAGGAAACTTAATAAGCTATGTTTTCCTGACAATACTTGAAAACAAACAACATTTATAGCGATAACAACGTTTAAAATAAAACAACGACAACTGGTATCGTGCTTACGGAACTTGCATGTATTATCAATCTCCTTTGGTTACACCGTGTACTGTTTAGATTGTAACGATGAATAGTTTCTTTCTGTCTTCCAGTAATAAATTATTGGAGAGTGGTGACTGTGATGAGCTGTACTGCAGTAACTTAAAGTGGTCGCTATTATTTACCATTAAAACAACTAATTTTTGATGTAACGGTCAACTCTGCAAGGAATCGAAACGTTAAAAATCTGCTTAAACCATTATGCATTATTCTGCTAAATTTCACTTGCATCAGTTGTATAGGTAAATTATTACTAGTTTTGAAGGGTATATGTGTACATGATAGTAAATGATTATTGGACAGTTATATGTGACGGACAAGTTTTCAAGTAAAATAACGTATTGCAACTTGTTCCTTAATCATTTTTCATTCCTTTCTATCTTAAGAGACTTAGAGGCTGTTGAACCAGGGCCATTCTCATTCTATATGCTGAGCTGCGATATCAGAGTCAAGATCACCTTAGAATATATATAAACTAAGCCTCATTTAGACGTTAGCTGAGGACCCACTGACTTGGCCCACGCTATTCGATCAATGCTTCCTGGGGATAAAGTAGGGATAAAAACCATGGTGTCGCCCCAAATAAAGGAATCTGGATTCCGGAATCCGAGAAATTTTTACTTGTGGAATCCGAAATCCGGGGAAAATTTTACCCGGGAAATCTGGAAACCTGGGCTTTGGAATCTGGAATTGAGCTCAAGGAATCCGTAACCCCATGCACTCACTATTGGAATCCAGAATCCATGTTCCATTGAGAACACTAGAATCCAGTACCTGGAATCCGGAATCCACGGCGTGAAATCCAGAATTCAAGACCGTCTTGGATTCCCTTACGAGGGGCGACTGGCGGCGTCATGATCAGTTTTGTCATAGTCTTCCTCAAAAACAGTCTCCGTAGATTCAACTACTAGACTTTTTCCCTCTTGTGTTATCGTTTTCTTCTGGTTGCTTTTCTTCTCTTTCCAAGACTGTCATACTTAATGTTTCTCTTTTATCGTTAGGGTCAGTTGGCGCGTTGGCGTTTAAAAAAGGCTCATCGTTCGTTACCCAAGCATGATCACGGTGAACTGTCTGTATCTTCTCTTGATCTGATGGAGGGATCGGCGAACTTAAAATTTAGATAGAAACAAGAATAAGAAATATATGTATTTGTTCTGTTTATGGTATTTACCCCTTATAGTATTAACCCGTAGGGAAACTTCACTGAACTACAATGTATGTTTTCAAATGTTAGATATTTGCCGTTACAATGGCTCACATACGTATACTTCGTTCCTTATTTACCAAAATGCAACATGAACATGATGTTTTTTCTTAACTAAGACTAAAGAACAAAATATTTAACTGGTTCCGCCGGACTGCTGCCTTTATTATGCACAACTGACTAATGTGTTGACGTGAACAAGGTAGCCCGTACATTACTTGGTAATCGAGTTTTTGTGGTATTGCTCAGGTGGACTACGCATTTCAACAATGGTATTCTCTATTAATTATTCCGGCACTCGGCCCCCAAAATGGCATTTAGTTCAATATTTCAACTCGAAAATTTCCGTCACTCTCCCCATTATTTCTCTACAGCCCCCGAAAATTTAAAGCAATCTTTCAGAAGTTATCATTTTTTTCCTAACATTTTTTTTTTCTTTTTAGCTGTAGCCTAGTACTTACTTGACAGGTTTAACTCTTGACTTGGGACAAAGGCCCTTCTTTTTACAAACGTAAACTCCAAATCCTCCCACAGCAACTAACAACACCGCGAGCACTGAAAGTATGGCAATGATGGTAGGTGTAGATAGTCTTGCCTCCTCTTGATCATGTGAACGCCCATGTGATCCCTTTTCGACGGTTCTCAAAGTTACAGTTATGTTAGTCACAAGATAACCACGCCAAAGAGTACCATTGGCTTCTCTTAAAAGATTTGCAAACTCCTGGTCATTGAATGGCGAATCATACTTCACCGTTAAGGCGAAATATGCCACAACGCTTCCATTCTTAAAGGATGTTACCTCGACTCGCAATACATCCGTGTTATTGAAAGAAATTATGCGCATGATGATAGTCTCAATCTCATCTGCTAAAGTCTTGAACATCGTTGTGTTGGGGTTTGATAGATTGGTGTGGTACCTTTTGTCCTTTATAATTAGTGAACCGTCCATGACTTTAATTGGAGTTGAATAATTTGAGGTCACCGGAGGGATCATTGTTGTTTGCTCCAAAATGGTTGGATATAAAATTGTGTTGTTTCTTGAGTGTGACACTTGCAGAAACTGAATGTAGCTATATTTTGATGCAAGAGTGCCAACTGCAGACAAGTTTACTGAAAATGAAAAAGACTTCATGGAGACGGTGGGCAAAGAGCTGTTTATTGAAATGCTACTGGATCTTCTGAAAGAATGGTTTATTAGTGTAGACTGAACAGCTGAAGTGTTTAGCTTAGTAGATATCGCTACGGACGGTGATGTGGAGATAGAAATGCGACTACCATTGAGGCTTCTTACGTGGCTTGTAAGGAATGTCTGATGAAATGATGTGTTACAGACCGAAGGTCTTTGGTAAGTTAATTGATTTTCTTGGACCTTACTCTTTGAATTCCGTTGTAAAAAGGAAGAACTGAGTGCTAGTGGCTCATAAGTCACCAGTTTCAATGTAGTATGCCGAGAGTTTATATTGGAGGGTGATGTGAATCTTTCATAAGACGGTATGGCTGTGACGTTCATAACAATTCTTTTGGTATTTGAAGGCGTTGGTGTGTCTCTGGAACCTTCGCCCAATGTGTACGAAAATGGTGTTACAAGTTTTCTAGCCAGGCTGGAGGAAAGTGTTTGTTGACTGGAACGACTTTTCTTCATGCCCTCTGTCGTCTTATGATGCGCAGGAGCAGACGCTGCGATAGGAGGAATCCTTGTGACTCTTGAGTCTATTGTGACCGTTGATAAGCGTTGGACAGCGTGTAAAGTGGCGCTAGTCTTGCCTAAAGTACTTGAGGTTGCTGAGGTTGCATGAGGGGTAACAGTTCCTGGACGTTCGAAGTTGCTATGAAGATAAAAGATTGTCCAAGTTGACAAAGTGTGGCTATTCAAGTCTGAGTTAGTGTAACTAAAAGGTGCATCAGAAGTTATAGTTGTTGGAGTTCGGTGTTTTCTCCGACGGGAAACCTTCGAGACCAATTGCAACGAAGAAGAGGGCCTTGAAAATAACGACACCTGCATTGATCTTGAACGAGTTACCGTTGCTTTCGTTACGAATGCATACGAAAGAGTTCCAAGCCTGATATTCAGTTTGCTGTAAGTTGATGTTGTGTTCGTAGGTAGGTGAGTCATCGATAGAAGTAAGGTAGAAGTTTTCCGAGGCGTTTGCGTTGAGACACTGTCGTTAATTTTCAGTGCATTATCACCAGTGAAGTAGGGCGAGAGGGTCAAAGTGTTCAAGGAACTCATTGTCAATCGTCCGGCAAACGATGTTTTACCATTACCATCATCGCTTTTCCATGCTTCGGTTATCTTCGTACTTGTTGTGGTCTGGGGAGAATCAGTTGCCGAACTCCCCGTTGTGCGTTTAGTAGCGAGGATTTTTTTCATTGTTCCCGAACTCTTTTTGGGCAAATGGAGTAAAGAAAGAAAGACTGACGCCTCGGTTACATCTTTGCTTGCTATCGCGTACAAGAGGGAAGAAACGGTTGCTGATGCTACCACTGTGTTTTTAGTAGCGTTGATTTTTTTAATTGTTGTGGATGTATCGCCCTCAGTTACCTCATTATTTATAACGTGCAAGCGGGAAGAAGCTGTTGCTGAAGTTGTGTGTTTCGTTGCGTGGGTTTTCCTTATTGTGGCAGGCATTTCACTGCGCGTAGTAGTCAGAGAGGGGAAAGATGCAGTGCTTGATAAATCCTGACGTAAACTGCTGGACTGGTCTTCACTATGGAAAGAAACTTCGATTGCTGAAGTCGGTATTAGCGGGGACAGCGGTGCAAATTGACTCCATTTGACCATGGTCGTCGAACTACCTGGTATTGAAGTTTTCAGAGAACTTTGACCTCTTGACTGTCGTGGCGAAAGAGACAGAAATTGCTGTACCTGGGTCATTAATTGCGACCATGAAGAAATAATTTTTGTCGAGGATACGCTTTTCTCATTGCTATTTTTGACCGTGTGACTCGTCGACTGTGCTGACTCGGAGGTTATCATAACTTCCGATCGATTGAGGTACTTTCCTTTCAAACTCTCAGCCGTTGCGTTTCCAATACTGGAAAACAACCCATTGTCTCTCACCGATGTGAAGATCCTTGTTTGCTGAAGTTCTTTTGTTCCATCTCCAGTCTTTCCTGGGCTTGAGATTACGAAGACTTTCTCCCTTACACTTTCACTAGTTTTAGCTGTGAACTGAGGTGAAACAGTGACGATAGAGTTAAACATTTTTGCTCTGCTGTCGTCGATAGACTGTGAAGCGGCGATGTTGGGGATAAATTCTTTGGACGATGCAGGGCCTCCATGTACACTTAAGCCGCTAGATGTTAGTTCATGGAATCTGGAGAATTGAGTGCCCGAAGATGTATTGGTTTTTTCTGTCGTCTTTAGAAGAGGAGAATACTCTTGTCTTACGTGTAGAAGGGAATGGGAAGGCGCACTTCTTGACACTAATGTTGAGACAATTGGAGCGGAGGTTGTTGTTTGTTTTCCTGGTACAGTCTCAGTGGATAAACCTGACGACATTTGAACCTTCATGGTTGTTTGCAACCTCGTGTGGTCTAGACAAATTGGCGATGGTCTCACAGAAAATGCAGGGATGTACTTGTTACTGGTTTCTAAAACTTAAGACAAAGTGTTTCATTAGAGCACTCTGCTATCACTGTTAACAATATGGCTGCTCGTGCATCGTGTAATAATGCAGGTGCTAAAAAGTGTTAATTAAGGGGTTCACCAGCTGACAGGTGCTCCTAAGCTGTATAAGAAAGCAAATATTGCTCACTATGGCAAATGTCAAAACGGAAACACATTACCGCAATGTGGGGAGTAACAAAACCTCACTTTGAGGGCTTACAACGAATTGCTCAAAAAGTGCCTCAATTGTTTGCTAAAAAAAGGATATTTGAGTTTCATATCTGCAGCCTAATCATCTCATTAAAGTTTTCAATTACCGGGAAAGTTTCTGAACATTTTTGTGCTTTTTTTTATTTACTAATGCGCATCATTTTATTTGATTAAACTAAGATTCCAACATTTATACACAAATTCTTATCAGATACTAAACCTTATTCACGTATTCAGAGGCTTTGTTTATGTGTGATTACCAACATCAGAAAGAAAAAAATTCTGCAGTGTAGAAAATAAGAAACTAATAATTACTTCTCAATTATTCGAAGCAAACTTTGTAAATTGCTTTAAGCTTTTTTTTTTTCTTTTCCTGCAACTTTGTAAATTGCTTTAAGCTTTTTTTTTTTTTTTTTTTTCGCCGTAAATAGTTCTTTTTGTCAGGTGTCGGTTTTAGCACGGTGGTTGTAAGCAATTATATGAATCCCTGATTAAGCACTCTTTACTTTTTTTCTAGCTGATGTACAGATAGATGGAGGTTCAATCTTAGGGGAAGGCTTAACAATTCATAGAGGTGAAATGAATCAATAAATCGTTTGCTACTTTAGTTCAATTCATTAATCTGAATTGGACAAGACAATAAGGAATAACACTTACCCCTCCAAGAGGAATTCCTTATGCGAGTCGCTTGTGGAGAAAGTGAAAAATTTCCTTGTAAAACGGTGTTTTCAGCCAAGACTCCCGTTTCTTTGTCACCGACTTTTTTACTGTTACTGTTCCTCTCTCTATTGCTCAATTCTCGCGTAATGAAATAGATTGACAATCCTCCAATGCCAAGCAGAAAGATGAAACCAAACGTCAGTAAGGATACTTTTCGCCTTCGAGGCCTAGTTCTTTGCTCATCAGTGTCGGCAGCCGGAACACGGTATTTTTGGGCACTTCTTGACAAACTAGCAATATGTACTTCCTCAAAATCCATTCCACCAAGAGTGAAGGAAATTGCGTCAACTTCAGAGCTTGCAGTTGAACTACCATTCAGTGTTTCCTCTAAAATACTCGAGAAATGGACCGATTTTTTCTCTGCCATATTGAAGGGATCTTTTCGTAACCTGACACCGTTTTTTAGGTAAATGCTTAAAACCCCCTCGTTCACTACCATGACAGATTGTCATAGCAACAAAAATAATTTTGCACAAGCAACAGACCACAAAGTATGCTTAACAAAGTTAAATATCCTTTTTTCTCTTTAGTCTTGCAGGTGGCAATGAATTATAAGCCAAACAGGATCTCGCGAACGTCATATATGCTAATATCACCTTGAATTCAAAGTAACAATATTGCCTCAAACAAATTCATGAGGGTTAGCTAAAAGTGAAGTGACACGTAGCTAAATAGACACCTTTCAAAGATAACCGTTTCAACGTTATACTGAATTCGTCATCTCATATGGGAATCGATCCGTAGCACAGGTGTAAACGGCAATTGTTACGTTATGGCCAGTTTCGTTGCCACGGGCGCAACTATATCGGTTGCAAGGCGGATTAGTTTCTAAAGAAACTGGTGTTGCGTCGGTACGTGGGAGAAATAAAGAAAAGTCAGCTTCTCTGTCTTCCTACCGTGGCAAATCCACCTTAGTTATTCACCCCTTACTTTTCATCGCGCCATTTTCTTTTCCGCCCGTTTAGACTTTCCCTCGCGAACATTAGGCATCAATTCATTGAATAAACCAAGAGGGTTAGTTCACACTATACTAGACAGCACTTGCACCGAAGCGAAAACGGCCATGATACCGAATAGTGCTTCTACTCACATACATAAGAACCGTGATTTTGGCGCAATTTCTGTAAAGGAGCAAAGCTGCGCCGGGCCGATCTTGTAAGTGGATCGTCACCGTTATCGAATTGGTTTCTAGCTGCCACTCTTCGTCTCAGTGTGAACGGGTATTCGGATCGTAGCAGAAGTAAATGAGTAAAGGAGCGAGGGATGGAACCCACTGAAAAGGAGGAAAATATTCACAGTGAGGATTGAGATTAACTGCACCAAACCCTCTCGCCCAAATGCTCAAGCACTATTGTCGATGTGTGTGAACGACTTGTTGCAGTTGCTGACTTAGAACCGACTGCAACAGCTGTTTTTAAAGGTTCACAAACGCCGATAAAAGGGCAATCTTACTATCATTAAAAAATAATATAACACAAAACAGGTAGTGTGCAAATCGAGATCGGGGATATGAAGTAACTCCTGTGAGGATATATTTTGTGAGTTAAACAACTGTCACTTACCATCCAGTGCACAAATAATCTTGCGCCCACAGAAAAAGAGCGTCTCTTCTCACTCCCAGCGCTATTCTCTAACACTTTTTTAGTATTTTATCCTTATTTCTTTTGATTTGTCAGTCTGTATCAAAAATTAGTATGATATGTAGCTAAAAATGTTAACACTAACCCAGAAAGAAGGACAATCCTCTCGCACGCCATTTTTTCTTTATTAGAGTGTCAAAGTATTTAGCCCACTTGTGAATTGGATATCTTTCTAACTGCAACTTGTTGGCTGTCACTAAGTTTCTTTCAGTATTTTCTCTGTATTAGCCTGGAACCAGGCTCTGCATTGTGGGAAAAAGGAGAAAAAGTCGGCGTTTGCAAAAAAAAAGGAAAACTGCGCGCCGAGCGAGGCGAGCGAGCCGAGCGAGCCTAGAGGTAGTCTGGGGAGGAGAAAGGGTGGCGTATCCTGGAGTGGAGACATGTCATTGAAATGTCAACACGTCAAGTTCTCATCACGGATGTCAGCGTGAGCTAATTATCTCGCTTTGGTAAAAAAATATTTGAATTCGAGATAAAGTAATAGTGCAAGCAAAGAGATCTACTTAACTTCGATCGCCAATTGGAGTTAACACCAGCTTCGGCAAAGTGAAAGACAGACGTTTCAGAGGAAAGTGCGCCGTGTTCGAGCGGGGAACAAGGAGACCCCTCAAGTTCGCAGTTCGCGTCATAATGCTCGTTGACATAGCTTCTTATAATGTAAGAGACGAAATATTGCTTTTGGTAGAGTTTATATTCCGCGGAGGAAAAATGTGTGAGTTTAGCACCTTAGGCGACAGACTATTCAGTTTGAGTGTATTCCTGTTGAATTTGTTGTCCCTTTTATAAGGTATGCATGGCAAAATCGTGTAAAAATTAGTAATAATCATTTTCCCTGAGTTTTCTCAACCGTTGTTATCTTTTTACTAGCCTGCGAGCAGAGGTTTCTCTCTTACATGCATGGCTTTTAGCGTTTACGAAGTCGTTCGCCTCGCTTGTCGGTTGTATATTTAGTTTGTTAAGTACTTGACTGACAAGCGAGGCGGACTTCGTAAACGCTAGAACAAGTAAAAGCCAAGCAACAGGGAAAACTGCTCACGGGGTATCTCCGTACAGTTTTGGTTTACGTGTTCTCGGAGCACAAGGCTTAGCTGTACGCAAAATGCATTCTTTGCCTACATCCACTGACTTTTGGGTTTTATCACGCTTTTAGCAGGAGCGTGATTACAATACTGTACCTTTTGAACGTCGGTTTACTGACAATCGCTTTATAAATGTGACCGTAGTTTATCACAGGATAGTGTAAGAAAAGATCGATATTTTGAATACTTATTTTTCTTTTTGCAACAGATCACAGGCATATACTCAAGTAGATTAAGGCCTGGTTCTACGTGATTTGGGATTTTTATGCAGATTTTCCAAAAACTATTGTTAAAGACATCCTCCAGGAATAACAGATGGTAAAGTAAACTAACCTTAAAAAAACTTGAAAAAAATCCAAATTAACCCGTCACGTGATCGACAACGCCCTCCTCTGTTCAAAAATTGCAATTAACGATGCCCACCACTTCCTAAACGTGTAACCCCAGTTTCTCTGTATCAAAACTTTGACCCTACAAAGTGTCTGCGAAATCAGCCTGAAATGGTTGGAATCTTTACAATTTGTAGGTGCAATTGGTGTTCATTGACTAGTGCCAGTCCTCCTCTTACTAAAATTTTCGTTAGGAGAAAGACGTTAAATGACTTCGTCTCATTCCACACGTTTTTACAAGAAGACTATCAGAAGCCACTATTTGGATCGACAAAAGGAAAACGATTTGCTTTCTACATAGTGGGCATTTCAACCCAAAGGATTTCTCGATAAAACAGGGCGTGGCTGGTCACGTGATACAGTTATAAACAATTTTTAAAATGAAAGTTGAAGATTTCATAGTTATCATTAGCCTAAATTTATTAGACCTGGAATATCTTTAAAAAAACTTTACATTAGACCACCCCCCTTTAAAATTCTGAGGAATTTGTAAAGAACCAGGCCTTAATCTACTTGAGTATTTTTTGCTCTTCTTGGAGCCGAGGGATAAGTGAAAGGTCTCGCAAAGAAATTTGTATTGCTTTCTCGAAATCAGTGTTTTAAGAAATCTTTTCCCGAATTGTAGCAGCGTGATATTGAAAGAGCGCGACACTGTCAACAGCACCGCGAATCTGTCAACACGAAGACACTTGACCAATCAGAGCTAGATACCAGAATCTGGTATCATGGAACGGCGGCATCAAAGGCATGACTCAAGGCTCCGCCGCCCATTCCCCCTCCTCAGGATACCGCTCAGCTAGCTTCGCTCGCCGACATTTTTCCTATTTGACCCCGGTTTTTGCCTTTTCCCCCCACTGCCAAGCCTGGTCCCAGGCTACTCTGTGTAGCAGGTAGGGTTTCTGTAGCATGTTGGTTTTTCTGTCAGTATTTTCTCTGTATTGTAGTTATGTTTCTGTAGCGTATTAGTTTTTGTAACTGTCAAGCGCGTGTGTACGTATTTTCCATGGCAAAAAATTGAGCCCTTTGAGGGAGACATTAGCGTGAGACTGAAAAATTGGTTCTGCTAATGCGCAGTGTAAATGAGCGGGCTATGGGGCTGGATGAAGAAGGCTAAACAAAATGGCGGCCGAAAAGCGTTCTCGTACCGTGGAAGGTTTTTATCGCGGAATAAAGAGCCACGTTCGTCTTAAAGTGTATGATTTATTATCACACTAGGGATCCCACACTCCTGTTCGACTCAGTTTTGCATAAGAATCTTTAAAACGGAGTTTGTTTTGCTTTTGCCTGGATCCAGTTCTTCATCACGATCATCAGTGTCTTGTTCAGGAGATTTGCAATTGTACAATTCGTACAGAAGTTTACTGCCAGCTAACATATAGAACATTTATCAGTTGCTGAACATGAAACCGGGCACAACTTAATAAATTTATAGATTCAAAGATTACTTGTTTATTTGGGCCCGAAATGATGGATATCCTTTGTGGCTGTATTTCCCACCATCGCCGTTTTCCTTCTTTTCTTGGTCGTTTTGCACGGCCTCTACACAACACAACACAAACGTAATGCAAATTACAAGAAGGACCGGGGCGCTCAGCAAAATCGCCAACATTTCTGAAGGAGTACTTTTCAAACGCCGATTTACATATATTTTTCGCTCGAAAACGTACAAATTTTACGAGTTTGGGGCTTAAATGTTAATTAGATCCCATGCTTTCCATATCAACCCGTACATTTTTCAAATACGCATGTTTTAAACGACTAGCCCGCTTGAAGTGATGACCGTGTTTTGGTCGAGCGGTCAATGCCTGTCACGTCTTCTTTCGAGTTCGACGACTTCGAAGCCCGATTTACATGGTTTATTTTCTCACTTTCCCAACGTATTTTACGACTTCCAGATAGGGTGATTAATAAATATCGTAAATATAACCGTACATTTAGAGAAAGTAATCGTTAACTTTGGCTAGTTTTGTTTTTCGCTAAAAATTAACAATTATCGACATGATTTTGGGTCACGATTTCGGGGCCTGGGAACGAAAAAAAAAATGGAGAAAAATGTCCCGTAACTTTTTGGCATGTAAAGTTGAAAAAAGAAAAATTGGCCTAAATAGGGCTAATTGGGGGACTTCATAAAATATACTATTAAGACGCTAAAAAAGTGAATATTTACAATACTAAAATTCTTAATAGAAATTTAATATGTTGTCTATTCACTACAAAGTTTGAAGCAGTTACTGTTATTAATTTTGTTGTAGGTGATTTTTGTAGGTTTTTATTCAGTTAAGATCTTTTTAAAGATAAATTTTACCATTTTACATAATCCATACTGGTTAACTTAGTTAAGCAAACATGTTTTACATAACGCATAATACTATGTAATAAGGAAAAACACCTACAGGGAAATAAATTTAAACAATAGATCGTTTTCACTGTCACGCAACGAAAAAATAAATTGGAAACATCCAGTGGAAGGAGCCAAGAAAATGAAATGTTATAAAAGACTAATATAAGTCTCAGGTCTTTGGGGCCCACAATTTCTGAGTTATTTGCCGAAACGTTTCACGCAACTTTGAAGATCTTTGTATGGTGACGCCATATTGTTAGACCGTTTTGGTCCACCAATATGGCCACCGGAAACCAACAAAAACATCTGGAGTTCACTTTGTCTATAAAAGCTCTTTCTTTTCACTCGAGAACTAGCATACGTGCGCATAAACATATCTTCTAATACTTAAAATGGTTATACTGCTGAAAATCAAGAGGAGAGGCTTTTTTTCAACCAGAAAGCATTCCTATTTTGATATCACGCACTGTGAAAACTCGGAAGTTTAAATTGCTGTATTTTCGAAATAAAACATGCTACGGGAATGGAAACTTGTACAAAGATTTACTTTTTGTTTATCTTCAACCTAATGTAAATGAGAATTCGTAAAAACCTCGCTATTTTGACTTTACAATTTGATGAAGTCACTGTGAAAACCATCTATAATAACAACATAATCAACGTTAATGAACAGATATAAAATCCAAAACGACTCGATTTTCAGAAATGGACCTACTGAAAACAATTAATAGCCATTTTTTAACCGAACATAGGGAAAAAGGCCAAATCCCGACATTTTCAAGCCCAAAAATCACGCCAGAGCAAGTAAAGGTAACACATAGCAAAAGAAGAAGGAAAAAAGGAAAAAGAGAATGGCTGCACTCTTAACTTTTAGAATGGCTACTTTGGAATATTGTTGAGGACAATAATTAAATGGACGATCAGGAACAACGACTTCAGCTGAGAGAGATTATAACGATTTTTACAAACCCGGTCAAAAATTGTGCACTATGAGTAAAAACATAATCCATACTGGTCATCTTAGTTGAGCAAAATTGCGACTTTCATAAAATAATGCGGGTACGTTTCTTCGTGTTGCAGAAACCACTTTTGGTTAGCTTGTGTGTTGTGGTGTGGGTATCAGTATCTTTTCAATATTTTGACCATAATGTGATCTTGCAGGTGTTTGTTCTATTCTACCAATACTAAGAACTGCCTCGTAGCGTGCTGATCCAGTTGTCAAAGCGTCGTGGTTTTCGTCAAGGAAATCCCATCCAATAACGAGACTTCTGGGCCTTTTCTGAGCCATCGTCGGTTACATTCACGTACTTTCTCTAAATTGGGTGTAAACAAATATATATAAACAAACAAACAAATTTGTCGTAATACTGTTTATATTGGACATTCCGCCCTCTTGAGTTCACTGCAACGGAGTCGCGTGTTCCCGCCATGTTTAAGTTTACGGATTTTTGTTTTTTTTTTTTGGTCCTGTGAAAGACAACGACAGCGGCTTTCCCTTTCCCTTTTTTTGTGGCTGATAAATAGTGATGAACCAATAATTTTCGACAGCAACCGAAATTGGCTTTTCTTGGACTAGCAATAAATTTGTTCAGTGATTTCACTTAACAGTATTCAATAGATTAAACAAAGGAAGACTCAAGACAGCACCTTATATTCTCGTAAATAATACTGGAATCGCTTCGTTATTTCAGCAAATGTGGGTCTCATCAAAGGGTTTTCTAACCAACATGAACGCATCATTTCATATCTGCAAATAATAGCAGAAAATATTTGAATAATTAATCTGTAATACCTAATTAGATAAAGAGATGAATGTGGCAAAATAATGTATATGAAATAAATCATATATGTGAACTCTTCCAGGCTCCGAGATAATCGGGTCCGCTGAATTGAGAAGGCGCGAACATAAAAAAAAAAGAAAGAAAGAATGAAAGAAAGAAGTGAAAAACGCGGGGAGGAAATTTGGGAGAGGAAGGGCGGCGGAGCCTGTAATCTCTGCCAACTTTTCGCATGCCTTACACTTTCGTGTCAGTTTTCCCTCATGATGTCTAAGCCTGGAACAGGCTACTTAACAATCGGATAGCGTTTCCTTCTTCAAGACGAGTTGTAATTTAGACTACGAGTGGTCCCCCATTTTTCCTCAGGGATAGTAGAGCGAGCGAAACGCGAGCGCGTGAAAATCACCCCACGCGACGTTCGTTTCTTTCTTTCTTTCTTTTTTTTTTATGTTCGCGCCTTCTCAATTCAGCGGACCCGATTATCTCGGAGCCTGGAAGAGTTCTCATAATGATTTATTTCACATACATTATTTTGCCACATTCATCTCTTTCACGGGAACATGAAGAAATAATTGACCAGCTCCCAACATAAGTGACTTCATAGCTTAGTTCGTTAGAGCGCGAGCTCACAGGTTCAAATCCCGTTGAAGTCCTGAATTTTCTTTCAGGCTTCTTATGCAATTCCATAAATAGACCATACTCACGATGACGTCATTTTACTACTGCTACCAGACCCTTCAGGGTTTTGCTTTCTTGTGTAAATTGAACCTCACTGAGATTACCAATTTTAAATTTGAAAGAAAGAACAAAATGAAGTGTGGTATTAGTAGTAAAAGACGTCATCGAGCAAATGGCGTATTGCGTTCACGACTTCCAGAATTCATTTCCGTAGTTCTCATATATGATTTATTTCATATACATTTGTCACATTCATCTCATCATGGGAACGTATGAACACATAATTTACCAGCTCCCAACATCAGTGGCTTCATAGCCAATAGTTGCATGGTTAGAGCATCGCACCGGTATCGCGAGGTCACGGGTTCAAATCCCGTTCAAGTCCTGGATTTTTTTTTTCAGGCTTAAAAAAAAAGGTTAAAAAAAAACGGGTGCTTACGCAATAGTCCGTTTCCAGAAAAAAAAAAAAACGGAAGTTGCATGGAAGTGAGGCTTAATAGCCCTCGCGGCAAATTTAAAATCATGGCGGACGATCAAGTCGATCTTACTCCAGAGGACATTCCTGGTGCTAGTTTTATTGAAACTGACCGTTTCTCAACTAAAGTTTTGGTTAAAATGCCTCCGATAAATCAAAATGGTAATGAAATGAAACTGTTGGAAAGTTAGGTGTACATCATCCGGCTTCGCACTATCGATCAGCTGTTTCTGCTGTTTATTTTCAACTAAAGATTTACATAGCGGTTTAGACACGTGTGTTCAAAATTTGCTTTCTCAGGGTCATGAACCTGAAAGCAATGAAAAATCTAAAATAAATGACCCTGACCCTGACCCTGACCCATACTGGAGTTTCACTAATGCAAAGTTAGCGAGACAATGAAGAACTGAGGGAAAATGGGGAGACCGCGAGTGATGCAGATTCAGCATTTGGTGACGATTTTAAATACCGTCTCTCACACGTTCGTTCCGACTGATACATTAGAACACGCAAAGAATTGTGGAAAGAACACCAGGAAATCTGCTGATGCCGTTGCCGAGTGTGCAAGTTCTTAAGGGCTCAGAATGCTCTCATTTGTTCACGACCTCCAAGTGTGTGCGAGTCCGAATTCCGAGGATGATGTTTTTTAAATTTCGAAGACATTCCTTGAAAAGCGTGTCTCAGTGCCTTGCTTCTTCACAACTGATAAGTCTTGAGTGCAACGCTTAACACTGTTATAGCGGTACGTACGTCATGTATGGGGACATGTATTGTGCCGACTTTAAGAGTAACAAGGTAACTACAACGTAACAGAGTTACCAGGTTACAGGTCATTTTAATTTGACCACGTTAACATGATAGGTGGGGTGACCAGCCACATGTTACCTCACCTACCTTGGGTCCCTCCACCTCCATGTAAACAGGCCCTAAATCTATAAAGATTTACATTGAAACATTAAATCGCAGTTAATAGAACGTGACGCGCCAGAGCTCCAGGAGATCATTAGACAAGTAGAGAAGCTCACCGAATTTAAAATCAAGCTAAAGCGCCATTTTAAACATTAACGCCTGCGGTACATTTTGGCTTAAGTTTTTAAGTTAATTAATTTTCTAGTTTTAATGTTTTAATGTCTTTGCTTTTGTGTTGTGTTAGGGCTGCTTTCAAACTAGCTTTACTAAATTGGATGCCCCTGGATAAATATTGATTAAAATATTGATTGATTAACGAATTTTTGAATATTTATTTATTCAATTGTATAGAGGACAATTGCAAACTTACAGTTCGTCTGTGCTATGTTCCGGACGTGACATACGGTTCCCCATGGACAGCCAACTGATTAGATCTGCTAACATTATTATGTTAGGGTACGGCACCTCACCTACAGACATCCACCAAATTTTAGGTCATATTACAAGAAACGGGTAGGAATATAATAATAATAAATAATTTATTTCTATAGTGCATTTTCCTAACGCCCAAATGCGCTTTACAGTGTCAAATATATTATAATCTATACACTAAAAAATGTAAGAAAAAATCCTGAGAATCGGAAAAATCAAAATTCTAAAAGTCCTAAAAATCAAAAAAAGAAAAAGACTGAAAGTCTAAAAATATGCTTGTCGAAAAACATAGGTCTTAAGCCTAGCTTTAAAATATCCCACGATGCTACACACTAAACCGTCCAATAACACACTTATTATTCCATCGACTTAGACGAACTAAAGAAAAAATAAACAAACAAACAAGCAAACAAAAAGCAAACAACAACAAAAACGTTTACTTAGAATGAGACTGTCTGACCTGTTTAAAGTCAGTTTTCCACGTTTTAAATGATTGATCAGAAATAAAATAAAAAGTCAAGATGGTTAAATGTCTTTTTTCGAGCAACACATTTCGTCACAGCTTAGTGTAGGGCTTATAATGGCTTTCCAGTTTTCGTGAATAATCGATTTGCAAAGCCAAGAAAGAAACATCTTCCGCAAAGTCAAGAGTTAGTCAAGGAGTTTCAAAGAATAAATTGACAACAACGGACTTGATAATTCATCTTGGTTGGAAATAATGACGACAGGTTTTTAAAGAGTTTTTGGAGTGTGTTATGTTGATTTCCTTGACCAAATACTGGTCAGTTACGTTCCTCTGTGGGGAAGTACTTCATGGACAATAGACTATTTTACAGTTATGAGCTTGGTACCCTTAGCCTTTAAGTGAATGTGAGACTGACGTTGGCCTTGTTTTGATGCAAACAGTTTCCTTTACTCATGATTATTATATTTAAAAAATACTAGTTAGCATAAAAACTAACTTATTTAACATAATTAGGTCAACCCAGCCTCGCCTCCACGTGTAACTGTAAAACACAGTCAGACCTATTGTCAACTTCATTGTGTTCTATCTAGCGCATAATCTTGGTTTAAATTTTGCTTTTCGATCATGTTCTTCAGGCAACTTTACTCGAGACAGAAATTCGGTAATATTTAGGCTTACAATTTCGCTCGCATTTTGTATTTCCTTCGGGAAAATATGAATGTTCCACCATGCACGGCGTTTGCCAAAAATACTTCTCAAGCCGATCTTTAAGAATATAAATAGCCTATTCCCTAGAACAAAATATCGTGATATGTTTGTATGCGTTTTTGGTGTTACTAATACTATACGGAACGTATTTATTATATATAAAATGGTAAGTTTTATCTTAGAAGACAACATAGAAGTTTGGCTACTTTTAATACCCACCATAAGTGGCAATCTCCCACAACACAATACCATACGACCATCTTTAAGGAAACGAAAGAAACAGAAAGATATTAATATAAGTCAAAGAATAATTCAGTTTATATACATGAATAAACGGCATGGAATTACTTGAAAAAAAAATCGAGATGACCTTAACGTTTGGACACAAGCAGTTAGGACACCTACACGTCACTTTTGGAAGTATATACATGATCCTTTAACGATTCTAACGCCATCCATCTCCAAGGTACTCTACCCTATAGAAGAGAAAACAAATCTCTTTTTAGAAGCTACAGATAGTAGGTTAAGAAAAAGAAAAGGTAGAAGTAAAGAGCTTTGTGCTAGCGTACTTGGATTGTATGGTTAAACTAAGGAGATACTAGAAAAAGAGCTATTCCCGAACTAACATGTACTTACAGAGGATTTTTTGGTGTAAATGCCATTGAACGAGATATCCCTTGCCAATCCAAAGTCACCAACTTTGGCCACGAGGTTTTCGCCAATGAAGACATTTCTAGCTGAAAGGTCGCGATGAATACACTAGAAAAAAATAGAATCGACCCTCTAGTTATGACAGCAAAAGTATAAAATGTAAAGAGTTACAGGGAGAGCTTCAAACATACAAAAGATAGCTGCGAAATAAGTGAGATGGCTTGAGAACGATTTGCATACTAAAAGGAGGCTATCTTAGTCCTGATAGAGGTACAATTGCAAGAACAAACAATTTCCTGACCAAAGCGTGGTAAGTTTGGTCGCAGACCTTCAATCGTCTGTTTGTTTTGTTTTGGTTTATTTTTTTTTTCATAGTCGCTCCACCAAATGAAGTTAATTTCATGAGATATAAAACTGCTAGGCGACCTGTGACGGTCATCTCTTAGATTCTTAATTGGCATCCAAATACTGATGGTTCAACCATGAAAGGAACTCGACCTCCCTTCCCCTCCTCTGCTTTTGAAAGGGTCTAATTTTCATTCCTTTATGTCAGTTATAATACAAGTATACACTATGGTCTAGTGGTCAATATACATAACGCGCGTACAATATGGTTTATAGAATGTGGGCAGCCCCTTAATTTTCATTGACCGGTGTGGCAAGCAAACGAAGAGGCTCGGTGAGGTGGAAAGAGTACCATCCTTTGAGAATGGAAGAGAGCATGCCCAAAATTAAATTTTATCAAAGACTGAATTTCCTTGGCTTGAAATAGTTTCATTCTGTCCTATGCTCGATTTTTCCGGCGACTTGAATCTCTCAAGGTTGAGGTTTAGTTTTCTCACGCCTCGTTAGCTTTTCCTTGTAACACAGACTATTTCTGGCTTTAACGGTTTTCTGAATTTATCAATTACTGATACAATGCGCTTAAGAAGGGTAATAGAACTTCTGTCAGTTCACACCTTTTTCTCCTCTAAGTGTTGCATTCCCAAAGCAACTTGATATGCAATAACAAGTAACTCCCGGTCGTTTAGCCCAAAATGCACATTTTCATAAGTACTCGCTTGGCCAGGAACGCCTACCATCCGCTTTGATTTCAGGAATTTTTCCAGGCTTCCATTAGGGATAAGTTCAGTCACAACAAGAATCTCTTCTAGAAAAATAATAAATTGATAATAAAGTAATGAAAATTGAGCCCTCTTAAATCAACGTTAACAGATAATGCTGAAGGACATACTGGCTAGGGTAAAACATACCCTCTTGAGTACATGCGCCTATTAAAGCAACGATGTTTTGATGCCATCCAGCTTGTTTCAACATCTGTATTTCCCATAACAGATCATCTTTGTCAGTGATACTTGTGCCATCTGTATAGAAAAGCCCAGTGATTAATCAGGTGAGTTTTTAATATCTGCCATGATAATATAATTTTATCTGTTAAAATTCTGGAACTCAGAGTTTGTTCTGAATTTCTAATCTCAACACATATCATTCTATTTATCATTTAATAATCGGAAATAAAATTTAAAGTCAGTTGCAGGTTTCATTGCGGAGAATGGCATTATTCTTTAAAAAAAATAGTGCAACTGATTAATTTGGCGAACAAAATTTTATTTCCCGAGTATTAAAAAAACGTTCTTAACTCAAGTGATACCTTTTAACTGCTTTACTGCGACATTACAGGTCCTTCCATCAAGTCCGCGATAGGTACCTCTTTTAACAACTCCAAATTCTCCCTCTCCAAGCACGAAGTCAGACACTTCTAGTCTCTTCATGTCAATTTCCCAGCTTTGTTCATGCTCCTTTAATATAACGCTATAAATATTTTCATTTCAACAGAAAATTTTTTTCTGTTAGAAGAGGTAGCAAAAGCATTTGACTACTGACTGATATAGTGTAGACATTACTGAGCAATAACGCATTTGTAAATTAATTAAATTGACGACACACTAAAGATAATATTACTGCCATTGACGTGCACAAAGATTTCAGGACAAGCTTTGGTAATGCGAGGTCGGCTAGAATTTAATCCTTTGGCATCCAGATTAATGCACTTATGGGACTGGGTGCAGGCAATGGGTGGCGATTTGACAACATGTAGCCGGTTCCGCACATCATGTTGCCTTCATAAGGGAGATATGTTAAATCACGTTTGTGACTTCCATCATGAAAGGTATGCGAAATGAATTAGTTAATAGTGTGCTCTCACGGGGGTTACATTGATTGTTCAGTTCGCATGCAAAATTCTTTAGAAAAATAATGTACTATGGATTCTCACATCTTCGTAAAAATGTAGTCGACAATAGACCGCGGGGGTTACTGCTAATTTACTATGTTTATGCCCTTTATACAGCCTATGTACCTTTCTCTGTCGAAGGCATTGTCATGTTCTAAGGAAACGCTCTCTTGGCTTCCCCCGCTGTCATAAGCACTGTCCTGCGTCATCAGCCTGCAAGGCTTCGGTGCTCCCTCGGGAGGTACGTCTCCGGGTGTTAGAATGGGTTCAGGTGTTTCAAGCTGGCTTCTTGGCAGGTCAACAGAAAATTCCCCTAAAACACGAAAGGAACAACATCAAGTGACCGGTGGTAGCTTATGACAATGCCATTGACAAAAATTGCTTGAAACGAGCCGCTTACGAAAGAGAAAATGTTAACATCGCATATCTAGCGAATATTGGATACCGCTGAGAAGATCGAGAAGGGCGTTATCCGTCAAGGTGGATAACACCCTCTAACATCCTCATAATTCTTCCGATCATACGGCAGCCGAATCTAATAACTATTTCAGTATACATTCGAAACAATTCACACCCTAGCTTATATACCTCGAACGATGTTAAGTTCCCGTCATTAGTTGTTCGCTCCTCCGCAAATTCAGGATACAAAGGAATATTAGGTATAGGAGATTACTCTTCATATTCTTCATTTGTCACGCGTTAAACAGTATTTTTGCTGTTCTTGCCACGTTTTTAAGGCAAAAGTTTGGCAATATCTACTTTGCAAAACGTGTAAAATCTTCTCGGCTGCCGTCCGTTTTGCCGGCGATAGCCTGTACTATTGTCGTTATTTGTATAGGTAATAGCATGATTTGTAGCGATATTTGGCACAAATACCACTAGTGATATTTCCATATTGTTATACGTACTTTCACAAGCCGATAGGCGAGTGAAATTTGAGGCACTTTTTAAATATCACGAGTGGTATTTATGTCAAATATCACGTACAAAACATGCTATTATTTGTTTATACTACTACCCGCAAAATATGTGTAATTTTCACGGTAGGTATTTCAAATTAAGCAGAAATACACTGTTCTGAGCCAATCAAGTTGCAGAAATTTCTCATGCAGTAGTATAATACGGGATTTTACAAACGTCTTCCAAATTTGGTCAACGCTAGTCGGTTATGAAGAATTTTTCAGGGGATTCGAGCCAATCAGAAAAGGATACATATTGTCAATGAATTGAGTTATTATGACGTTTTTTTTTCAGTTTTTCCTGGTTGACGCTTGCGTGAAAACCATGAATGGGTAGCATCGACGACGGCAACCGAGGACGTCACAACATTCAAAATTGCATCGGTATATCTACTGTAGCTCAGTGGAATTTCAGACTTGAAAATAGGCTATTTTCCGTATCAGCTTTTGATCATTAACATTTTCTTTTCGCAATTTTGAAGTAAGAAAATTTAAGTGGGCAATATCATGTGTTATAACATAGTCTCCAACGCAACCACTATTTTCTAGCTACGCAATAGCCTGCGTGGCAGGCGTTCGAAGGGGAAGGGGAAAGGAATTAGGGCGCGAGACCGCGCGCGAGGGAGGTCAGGGAGGAGGGGAACGCCTGCAAGCAAGCCATTGTTTTCGCCATCCCCCCTACTAATTAAAAAAATAACAAAAATAACGCAACTGTGAATAACTAGCTGTCAAATAAGTCCGGCCACGATGCACGTATTCTAGTCGTATTTCTCGCACTGTTTATCTTTTGTTTTATAATAAGAAATCTAAAGTGAACTAGGTACTATAAAAAAGTTCAAATGCGGTCGTCCATTGAAGGAATCTTCTTTGAAAGTTGCAACGACGCGTGCCGAGTGACATAAAATCCAGCATAAATCCAATTCAAGTTGTTGCTGAAGGAATCGGGCTGGAAAACTATTTGATAAGAATGTAGCGGCTCTTGGGAACTTTCAATGCAATGTTTGTCTGAGAAAAATTAAAACACTTTGCCGTCACTCTTTGAATTTCTAACAGGACGAATTGGATCCAGCGGAGCACACAAAAGAACGCTGGTAGCAGGGAGCTGAACTTCGAAGATCTGCAAGAATGCAGCAATTCATTATTAAAGTAAGTTCATGGCGGTTTTATAACCAGCAAGAAGAAGTCCTCAACCAAAAATCGCTGAGGGTTCGTCTTCAACCACATTGCCGTTGATATCGCGGGTCAATTAGCAGATAACACGCACACAGGCAGCATGATGTCTCCTTTCTTTCTTCTAGTGAGTAAAACCGACAAGCTGTTGGGAGATGATACTTTTCAGAACCTTCATACAGTTCTTTAACTGCTTTTTTCTATTCTCCTTTCAAGCTGAAATTGATGCCTTCTAACGGTGAATTCCAGTAGAGAAACCTCATCTCGCTTCACTAACAACATACGTTTAGTTACTCAAATGGCGTGATGTTGTTTTCAGCCAATCGGAAAAAGGTATTAAGTCGAAGATTGACATTTCTGAATTAATTCTGACCAATCACTATTTTCACGCTCAGAATCGATCTGAGCGTGAAAAATGAAGAAAACAATGGTCTCCTTGCACGCGTTTCCTTCCTTTCTCCCTCGCGCGCCCAAATTCCCCCTTCCCCTTCCCCTTTTAACGCCTGCCACGTAGGCTAGCTACGCAGGAGACAAGTGCGCGGGAGACGAGTGATTAGCAGTGAAAATTCTTTCATGAGTATTTAATGTAAATACCATCAGACTGTCTTGATACAGAAGCTATTTCAGTTACGTGGCCAACAAGGAGCTGTACTCTGTCTTCCTCTTGAGCAGCATCTGTAATGCCACTAATGTTTTCTGTGTCATCTGGTGAAATCTCGGAGTCTTCATTTAATCTCTCCATAGCGAGACTGGATGATTCCAAGTCATTTATCTATTAACCAAAGACAAACTAAAGAGAATTAAACATTGCTTCCCTTAAGTCTTAAGTCATAGAGAGACTGGAGCGGTGAAGTACACGAAATATCTTCGCTCCTTAAAAAGGTGCATATGCCTAACGGTGTATTCACATCAGCTACATTTTTAAAATGCCGTATTGTTTGTTCCGATTAAAAACCTTCCTAATGTAATGATGGCATAGTTTTCAGCATTCCACTTCTACCATGACTCTCGGACTTTCGGCGTGGTATAATATTACAACAACAACAATAAGCTTTATTTACTATAGCAAACTATATAACAGTATTGCAAAAGCTACTTGAATTTAATTATTGAATTAAATAAATTAAATATTTAAAATAACTCTAAATATATTAATCATTGCTTATTTTCGACCATCAGTAGGATTAATTATTCCGGAGACAACTTTGTTATTCAATTCAAAGCAAGATGATATAATTGAAATTAATTGGATTTTAAGGAAATAGTCACTAGAATTTATTAGATGTGATAATAAGGTCTCATGTCATTGTAGTCGTAGAAACGGTAGTTTAGGTTCTAGTTTAGAGAAAAACATCTCTCTTATCGAAGAAAAACTTGGACAATCTAATAAAAAGTGAGTTTCATCTTTAATTCTGTTACAATTGCAGAGACTGCATAACATTTCATCACGTGGTATATTGTCGTATCTACCTGTTTCAATCTTAAGTTTGTGACTGCTTATTCTCAGTTTCACTAATGAATTCCTAGAAGCGTTTTTTCTTGTTAGATCTAGGTAGGCAGGGGGCCTAGCCTCGTCTCGTGCCTTTATACCCTCATAAAACCCGACCCGCGAGTTTATTGAACGACTTCAAAAACATTCCTGGAAAAGCGTCTCTCAGTGGAGCTGATAACAATGACGCTTTTGTGAACGTTGGAAATTAGCATACAAAAAAAACATTTCGAAAGGAAATTATTATGTAAGAAAATCAAATCTCGCACGTGTTTAGAAATTTTCCAGTCTACGAACGACACTAACCGAAGAGGACATAGCGTCGTGTTCCAGAGCTTTTCGGAAGCCTAAAAATGCCGAGGAAGAGAGGAAGTTAATTTAGAATGGTACCTCAAAGTCAACTATTCCACTGAAAAAGTATTATTTGAAAAACGTTTCCTGGAATGGCCGAATGGTAGGTAAACAAAAATCCGGCTCATCCTCGGCGTAAGAACCTGTTAAACTCACAAGTGACGTAAAACAAAGGAAACAAAGAAGTCAACACAGTAGAACGTAGAAAAACAAACGGTGCGAAACAAAGAAAAAGTTCACAGGTTCTTACACCGAGGTAAACCCAAAAATCCGGTACTCGAGCCTTGCGTATTTTCAACTGGCAACTCTTGAGTGTAACGCTTGGACACTACTGTAGCCAATATTACCGCTGTGTCACAGTACTGAACTCTTGGCTGATTAAATTGGTGAAAGAACGAAGTTTAATTTTTTGCAACAGTAAATTTACTGCGTGTGTTACTTTGAAAGAACATTAAATATTCACCCACCATTTTTGTATCAGTTGCTGTTCTGAAATTAATATTCATAGGTCACGTGCAATGAAATAAAATGTCATCCTTATTAGTATTTCATATATAAAGAATACTAATAAGGATGAAAGTTTGACAGTGTTTTACCGGGGTTTAAAACACGGGCACGTGACGGATTTTAGCGGACGTGATAGGTTGTTGAGCTCATGAATTATGAAAGAGTTTTTGAAAGTTTGTACATTTTGGCTTTTTTCTTTTCCTCTCTGTAATATCTTCCTTTCCTTACTGCGTCCTACGTTATTATCAGCTGTCATAAATATAGTCATACAGTGGTTTTTCCCTATTATTGACTTGAAATGGATGTTACAAGAACGCTCTTAAAAGGTTAGTCGAGCTCGCTTGGAGATTAGATAAGAAATGAGGAGGCGATTAATTCTACACGAAACAGGATTTCCTCACTAAAAACTTTTCACGTCCTATTTTATCGACGGTCAAGTATTTCTTGGGATATTTACGTTTCATACCGTGTTCGACGACTTGTTTCTGAATTGTTTGAGTACGCGTATATAAATGCACGAAAATCAAGGGCCTCAATTCGAGAGAAATTACATCATTGCCAAAGCGCAAAAACGTGATGAACACGGCTCGTCTTTTCAGTCATCGCCGAAAATAACCCGCATGCTCGTCACAAGACTCATTTGCATACAATGAAAGTTTACAAAAGCGGAGCCATCGAAGGTTTGCTTAGTCTGCTCTACAGCCGTTTTTAGTGTCGTCACGCAACGCTCCTCCCCACAAACGGCTGCTGAAAACCGAACTACATTCCTTTCCCTTTGTGTTTGTGGTCTAACGAACAAGCCAATCATGTATAAGAAATTTGACAATACGTGAGCCGCAGGGCGCTAGGAAGCGAGCACGCTCCTCAGTTTTCGACAAATCAATCAATCGTCGCTGAATTTAGACTGGCTCTGTGTTTTCAAGTAACGGAAAGGTTAATTTACAAAAAACTTTGTTTTAAGCGGTCAAGAAAGTTCCAAGTGAAAAAAAAGGTTTGATAGGCCTAGAAGCTAGACTTTTACCAGGATCGGTTGGTTCTTCATTTAACGTGCATATGCACTGATATGTAATGAAGAATTTAATGAGCCGGATGTGCTCATTGTGTTCCTGTGAAGACTAAACTCTCAAGGGTACTGATTCAAAAGGCAATCTTATAAATTATCGATGAGCGATTTCCCGAAACTATATCTGGCAACTTTATGAGCACATCCATATTGTACATCGCAATTTGCTCGATTTGCTTGCTGCTTATCTCCTAAATTTTGAATACGACTTGACTACGACAACACTACTGTAGTTAATTGCTTGTTTTCACGCGACGATTTTGATTATTCTGTCATTCACACATGGGGCACCAATAAAAGCAAAGCTGTGATTGGAGGAGTCACAGTACCGCAAACGTGGCGCGAACACCTTCCAGAAAATGGGAGCTGAATTATAATTGGCTAATCACGGGAAAGGATTGTAGTTCGGTTTTCAGCAGCCGATAGTGGGGAGGAGCATTGCGTGACGACTCTAAAAACGGCTGTGTAGCAGACTAAGGTTTGCTCATAAAGATTCGTATTTTTTCGACCAATGAAGTATTCCCTTATTAGAAAGTAATCAATGCCTTTCAGCGATAGAATTCGTGGACCTACCCTTCCCGGAAAAGCTCGACATCTTTCGCATTAATCTTTCCTAAACTTTCGTCACAAGGATGCTTGGTGCTCTGAAACGTCACGATTCTTATCCCAAGTTTCCATGGTCTCCGGAGTCTCGCGGCTAAGCAAGCTCAAGTAAAAATTATTTTTAAATATGGTCATCAATAATGCTTGCTAACGTTAGTGTGACACCTGTATGTCATGTAAATGTCACTAAGGTTTACCTCTTTAGCACGTCTTGACCTTCGATACCGCAACAGTCCTATAACCACGCAAGTAACCAACACGAGGACCCCAAGACATAACCCAACAATTAAACTAGTACTGGAGCTTGGTACTTTATTCCCGGTCATGGCGAAAAAAAAAAAAACATAACATAAAAAGTCTACTCTGCAGTACATTTTCACTCACATTCAGGGGCGTAGCCAGGATTTTTCAAAGGGGGAGTCACCATCCGGGGATCGCCGACTATATATGGTTTATACCGCTGCTCTCCCTCTTGTATCAGCGGGCTCAGTCGTATTATCGCGGCATGAAGGCCCATATTAACTAAAGACAAGAGCCGTTGACGAAAATACTTTACAAAAAACCAATTTTAAAAAAGTGGGCTTTTCAACAATGGCTTTTACGGCCAAGATATTGACATGGTGTTTTCGCCACCTGAATATTGTAGGTTGTTTGCTCAAAAGAAGGCCTACCAAGGGGCGGGGGGGAGGTCACGGGCACCCCAGGACCCTCCCCTAGCTGCGCCCCTTGACATTTTGTTTAACTCGGCTGAGGTTGGTTTATCAAAAGTAAGTAACCAAGCAAGCAAGAAAGGAAGGATGGAAGGAAGGAAGTAGAGAAGGAAGGAACGTATGAAGTGAGTGAGTACATACCTGGCTGGTTAGTTGGTATTTGATCGTCTAAAAAAGAATACAAATATGTTTTTTTATACCGTCAGTATTTTTACGTTCTGTATCAAGAGTGTTCTTCAGTAACTATCCGCTGGACGATAAGTTAATGAGGTTTGTGATAAACCGAAGACAACTATGTAGATAAAGACAAAACCATGGCCAAAAAACTTTCAACTCTTCTCTACATATATATATATATATATATCTAGCCGAAGTTTTGAAAGATACCTCAAAATGGGCCAGAATATTCGCACAGAAAGCTGGCGATAGCTGGTTGCTGCGGTGAGAAAAAACATAGGGGGCTTGCTGTCCTGGTTGGTCTCATTGTCAAGCTCAGTCCCTGAGCTAACTCGCCATGTTGGAAAGGGGCCTCCATGTCAATCCCTAGGGGGGGGAGGGTGCTGCAAAAGCGTTGTCCCTTCTGTTAGTCCTGTCCTGGGAGAGTCAGTCCACTGGTCATGTCTGCCTTTAGTTTGTCATGTCCTTTAATTACTCTTCCTTTTTTGGATTTAATGTGGAACCACATTACTTATAATAAACTTATAATATTACTCGTAATGAACAGCAAAAGGTGTATATTAAATAAACTTGAAACTTGAAACTTGTTTACATGGTCTTAGACTGGAAGAAGCATCACTTTGGTCAAAGCCTCTTTTTTTTTTTCTCGAAAAGCTTCAAACTAAAGCCGAAAGACAATTGCAAGGATTACTGAGACAAACTGTGTGCAGTATCCAATCACGAGATTTGTTAAGCAATCTTTTTGTCTTTGTGAATAAATTCAACTTTCAGGAATGGCAGGAAGTCCTTACATCTTCTTATAAGTAAGAAAGTAAATAAATAAGAAGTTATAATCAGTAAATAGGTTGGTAAGGAGATAAGTAAGCAAGCAAGCAAGCGAGCGCGCAAGCAAGTAAGTTAGTAAGTAAGTAATTAAGTAAGTAAGTATACGTAACTTGTTAATGCAACACCTTACCAAACGCTAATAATGCCGCTGCTCTTGACTTCTCCGTACCCATACTATTACTTGCCACACATCGATATTTGCCAGTGTCGTTCATTCTCACTCCTCTTATTACAAGCTGACTTTTACCCGTTGTGAGGTTTGTCAGGACTTTTTGGTTGAACGGCAACAAGTTACCATCCTTCGTCCAGTTTACTGCAGGCGCAGGATCACCACTCACCGTACAGTTAAATGTTACGTTGGACCCAATATGTGCACTTTGGTTTACTGGCGCCTTAATAATAGTTGGTTTTCGACCGTCTATAAAAGGACATAAATATGTTTTTATTATACAGTCAGTATTTTTACGTTCTGTATCAAGAGTGTTCTTCAGCAACTATCCGTTGGACGATAAGTTTATGAGCTTTGTGATAAACAAAACCATGGCCAATGACTTTGATGTTGGCGAAAGTATATTTTTCTGTTTTGTATGCCAAATGACGCATATAAGTGCCCAAAAGTGTTATTGAATGTTGATTAAAATGCAAAAATCGTAATTGAATCTGATTTATGCGCAAATGTTCGTATTTTTGAGCTAATGAATGTGTCTTCGCACTATTGGTCGCCGTTTCACGCAAATGATTGCGTATTTTCTCCAATAATGAACAGCAAAAGGTGTATAATAAATAAACTTGAAAACGTAGACTTGAAACTTGAAACTTGCTTACATGGTCTTAGACTGGAAGAAGCATCACTTTGGCCAAAGCCCTCTTTTTTTTTCTCGAAAAGCTTCAAACTAAAGCCGAAAGACAATTGCAAGGATTACTGAGACAAACTGTAGGCAGTATCCAATCACGAGATTTGTTAAGCAATCTTTTTGTCTTTGTGAATAAATTCAACTTTCAGGAATGGCAGGAATTCCTTACATCTTCTTATAAGTAAGAAAGTAAATAAATAAGTAGTTATAATCAGTAAATAGGTTGGTAAGGAGATACGTAAGCAAGCAAGCAAGCAAGCGAGCGAGCAAGCAAGTAAGTTAGTAAGTAATTAAGTAAGTAAGTATACGTAACTTGTTAATGCAACACCTTACCAAGCACTAATAATGCCGCTGCTCTTGACTTCTCCGTACCCATACTATTACTTGCCACACATCGATATTTGCCAGTGTCGTTCATTCTCACTCCTCTTATTACAAGCTGACTTTTACCCGTTGTGAGGTTTGTCAGGACTTTTTGGTTGAACGGCAACAAGTTACCATCCTTCGTCCAGTTTACTGCAGGCGCAGGATCACCACTCACCGTACAGTTAAATGTTACGTTGGACCCAATATGTGCACTTTGGTTTACTGGCGCCTTAATAATAGTTGGTTTTCGACCGTCTATAAAAGGACATAAATATGTTTTTATCATACAGCCAGTATTTTTACGTTCTGTATCAAGAGTGTTCTTCAGTAACTATCCGCTGGACGATAAGTTTATGAGGTTTGTGATAAACCAAAGACAACTATGTAGATAATGACAAAACCATGGCCAAACTTTAAAAAAATATTAACTTTCAACTCTTCTCTCTCTCTCTCTCTCTCTCTCTCTCTTTAGATTGTCGACTGCGTATTTTCTACTTGTTCTCGCTCTGCTATTTTCAAACGGTAAATTCGAAAAAAGTTCGCATTAAAAACATGGAGAGTAAAGTTTATGAATCATTTTCTAACTTTTTCAATTTTCCTGACACAGCCCTAAAACTTGGCGCGTACTATTTTCAATCAAACCTCACCAACGTAGCAATTACTCAATTTTAGGTACAAGATACGGAATTTTTTAAAAAATTCGAAAAAAACAGTGTTTGAAAGGTCCTCGAAAAAGGAAAATTGCTACTAAAGACCGCTGGAATTAGTAATATTTTCATTTTACCAGACCATTAATTTACGAATCTTTCTTGTTGTAAGCTACATCTTCAACAAGACTTGAAACATGAAGATTTTTGAAAGTGCCTCCAATAGTTTTTAGTTAAAAATTCACTTTGGGGGAATTTTCCAAGCACTGTTGTTTGCAACTTGCTTCGCATAATGGTTTACGTACATTTCACCTGTCAAGAGCTGTTTTTTTTTTTATTTTAAGCATTTAATGGCTAAACTTTACTTCGCAGCAAATACCCATTTGGGTCGCAAATACCCATTTTCCCTTTTTTGAGGAAAACGTACTTTTCATTGCGAAAAACATATTTCAGACAAAACATCGATCACCAACTATATTCCCCATACCTGTATTTTCCTTTTGTTTATCTCATACGTTTAATACACTTGTAGTCATTGACATTTTAATTCTTTATTATTCATTTTTATTTTACTGCGCAATTTTTATGAGCATGGATTAGTGGTACTGAGACAGTGGGGGTTACGTTTTCGCAATATTCACCTGCGTGCAAAAAAGGAACCTGCGGATAGCCGTGCAAACGTTTATTCTTGAGCAAATGGCGCTTTTTTCTGCCAGCATGCGTCATTCTGAAGCGAACTCATTTCAACTGCATTTTGCAGTGCCAGCACTAAACAGGCTGTCAGATAAAAATAATTTTCACTTTTTACTATACAATGTTCTCTCCATGACTAAACTCACAAGAGTTTTACATTTTATTTGTTAATATAAAACATCGTTTTCGGTCGTCTGACAAATCCGACCAAAACAGCCCAAGCCTTGTGTTTCTTTAATGACGAGCTCACAAATGGTAACACATGACAGCAGAAGGAATGAACACTGTGCTGTAGAAAGAAAAGCTAACACATTATCCAAACTTTTAGAAAACTCGTTAAGAACTAATTATTATCATTGTTTCTGTTGTACACATTCTTTGCACGGGAATGGACGGAGGCTACTTTTTACACGCGTGTACATTTCGCTAAAGAGCAACCTTGCCGACAGCGCGCGTTGTCTCGCAGTCAACAACTTGAGAGAGACGCAAAGGGTGCAAAAGCTTTTTGACATCTTCAGGGATAACATGGGCGCCGTGTAAAAAAAAATTGATGATTGTGAATTAAATAAAAGAGAACTTCTTTCGATACTTAATTGATAGTTAATAATTATAAGAATAATTAAATTGATAAGACTAACGAAATGTTCACTAGTTTTTCTCCAGTTCATTATTATACTTACTGTCACTTTTATTTCACGTAAACGGAACTAACATAAGTCTTAACGACGCGACCCGACGTATAAACCCTACTTTCACTATGTATGAATATCTAAAGCTATGTACGGCCATGAACAGCTATGTGCGGGTGTGCAGGGCTACCTAGGGCTACGTACGGCTCTGTATCGCTATGCAGCACTATGTACGGCTATGCGCGGCTATGCACGGTTTTTTTTGGCTATGTAGGGCTATGCACGGCTTTCCACGGCTATGCACGATTATGTACGGCTATGTACGGCTATCCACGGCTATGTACGGCTATGCACGGCTTTGTACGGCCATGTACGGCCCTGTATGGGTAAGTACGGAAATGTAGGGCTATCTACAGCTATGTACGGCTATGCACGGCTGTGTAAGGCTATGCACGGCCATGCGCGGCTATATACGGCTATACGCGGCTATGTACGTCTATGTGCGGCTATGCACGGCAATTTACGGTAATGCGCGGTTATGTACTGCTATGTACTGCTATGCGAGGCTATGCACGGCTGTGTAAGGCCGTGCGCGGCTATGCACAGCCATGCACGGCTATGTACGGCTATCCACAGCTATGTATGGCTGTGCGCGGCTATGTACGGCTATGGACGGCTATGCGCGGCTATATACGTCTATGTGCGGCTATGCACGGCTATGTGCGGGAATGCGCGGTTATGTACGGCTATGTACTGCTATGCGAGGCTATGCACGGCTGTGTAAGGCCATGCGCGGCTATGGACGGCCATGCGCGGCTATGCACGGCCATGCGCGGCTATGCACGGCTATCCAAAGCTATGTATGGCTGTGCGCGGCTATGTACGGCTATGGATGGCTATACGCGGCTATGTACTTCTATGTGCGGCTATGCACGGCTACGTACGGCAATGCGCGGTTATGTACGGCTATGTACTGCTATGCAAGGCTATGCACGGCTGTCTTAGGGCATGCGCGGCTATGCACGGCTATCCACAGCTATGTATGGCTGTGCGCGGCTATGTACGGATATGTGCGGCCATCCACAGCTACATATGGCTGTGCGTGGCTATGGATGGCTATGTGCGGCTATGCACGGCTATGAACGGCTATGCGCAGCTATGTACGGCAATGCGCGGCTATGCACGGCCATGCATGGCTATGCACGGCATGGTACGGCTGTGTAAGGCTATGTAGATTTTATGTACGGCTATATACGGCTGTTTACGGCTATGCATGGTTTTGTTCGGCTATGTTAGGCTATGCACAGCTTTGCACGGCTATGCACGGTTATGTACGGCTATGTACGGCCATGCATGGCTCTGCACGGCACGGTACGGTTGTTTAAGGCTATGTAGGGCCATGTAGAGTTTATGTACGGCCAAGCGTGGCTATGAACGGCTATGTACGGTGATGTGCGCTCTACACGGCTATGCACGGTTATGTAGGGCTATGTAGGGCTATGCACGGCTATGCATGACCATGCACGGCTATGTACGGCTATGCACCAGGGCCACCCAACGAGAATATAGTTCAAAAACACTTAAGCATAACATTGTTAAACGTATTTTAGTATTCAAACGGTAGATATAGGCATATTTTTATCCCCTAAAAATTTTTCATCTGTTCAGATTTCTTAGCTGAAAGTCTAGTGATCCGAAAATCTTAGGGATTAAAACTTACCTTTTCGAAACTTTCAGCCCAAAAAAAGGCTCCCGAAAATTCTAGGTGACCTTTTTAGGGTAAAAATCCGTTAAAAATTGGCAATTATACCATTTTTCAGATGTTCGAAAATCCTAGGAGAGGCAGGAAAGCAAGAAATTTTACAGCAAATGTTCCGAAAATTCTAGATCTCGAATCGTTTTCCGAACAGATATTTTCCGAACATTGACGTTGGGTGCCCCTGATGCACGGCTATGCAGGGCTATGTAGGGCTTATGGGCAGCACGTACGGCTATGTACGGCCATACATGGCCGTGCACGCTATGGAACGACTGTATAAGGCTAGGTAGAGCTTATGTACGGTTATGTACGGCTATGTAGGGCTATGCATGGCTATGAACGGCATGGTACGGCTATGCAGGGCTATGCAGGGCTATGTACGGCTATGAAAGGCTATTTAGGGCTTATGTACGGCTATGCACTGCTATGTAAAGCCATGCATAGCTACGCACGGATATGTACGGCCATGCTTGGCTATGCACGGCATGGTACGGCTGTGTAACGCGATGTAGAGCTTATGTACGGCCATGCACAGCTATTCACGGCTATGCACGGTTTTGTTCGGCTATATGTAGGGCTATGCACGGCTTTGCACGGCTATGCGCGGTTATGTACGGTTATGTACGGTTTTGTACGGCTATGCACTGCATGGTACGGTTATTTAAGGCTATGCAAGGCTATGTAGAGCTTATGTACGGCTAAGCGTCGATACGAACGGCTGTGTACGGCGATGTACTGCTCTGCACGGCTATGCACGGTTATGTACGGCTATGTAGGGCTATGCAGGGCTTACGTACGGCTATGCGTAGCTATATACGGCCATATATGGTTATGCAGGGCTTACGTACGGCTATGCGTGGCTATATACGGCCATATATGGTTATGCAGGGCATGGTACGGCCTTATAAGGCTATGTGGAGCTTATGTAAGGCTATGAACAGCTATGCACGGCTATGTAGCGTTATTCACGGCTATGTACGGCGGCTATGCAGGGCTATGTGCGGCTATGTAAGGCTATGTAGAGCTTATGTACAGCTACGTACGGCTATGTACGGCTATGCACGTCCATGTATAGCTATGCACGGCATGGTACGGTTGTTTAAGGCTATGTAGAGTTTATGTACGGCTAAGCGTGGCTATAAACGGCTGTGTAGGGCGATGTACCGCTCTGCACGGCTATGCACGGTTATGTACGGCTATGAAGGGCTACGTAGGGCTATGTACGGCAATCACTGGACGAAAAAACGGATTTGCCTAAGTTTGCTAGTTGAGCAAATCTATTGTAAATTTAGGGTACTAATGTTGCTACTTATTTGTTCTTGGT